GAGCAGAGAACCCAGCTGGGGCTCGATCCCAGACCCCAGGATCAGGACCTACACCGCAAGCAGATGCTTAATGGACTGAGCCACCCAGGCGTCCCAACATGCTCAGTATTTAAAAAAAAAAAAAAAAAAGAATCTCAGAAGTTTAATTTTACCAGCCCCCCAAAGAAAAATCACTGAACTTTTTTTCTAGCTTTAAGTAAAATATATATATATTTCACAACAAATGAAATTGTACTGTTTTAAGTAACTGTCTTCTCTCTTGTATTGCAAATTCTTCCCCCTGCCCCCTTAAATGTTTTTGAAAACATTATTTTTAGTGGCTATGTAACGCACATGTTAAACTAATTCTGTTTTTCTGTTTATTGCTTTTGTGTTTGGGTTGTTTCTCACTTTTTCACTATTATAAAGCTTCAACTGTACTATTCTTATCATCAAACTAAAAATGCTACTATCAGTAATAAGACCATATACTTAATAATCATCAGTTTAATTTCCAATAAGTAATCAATATTTGGTATTTGAAAAGGTAAGTTGAAAAATTAGCTCTGATTCACAATGCTATCAATTGGGAATAGTTTTAAAAAATCTTAAACATTCATAAGGACCTGAAAATTTGCCATGATTTCATTTTCCACATGAATAACAAGCTACATGTTACGTCTACTATTCAGTGTTTTGCAACTAGCCTTTATTTTAAGAGGCAAGGCATTTCCTGTTTACAACTTTATGGAGTAGGGTAAAACAGCAGTTGAAGGCTATAAAAGGCATTTTCTGAAGGACCTTCTGGAATATATTATATTTTACAAATTCTCATGTTTGTCAAATAATACACATTTTTTTAAAAAGGAGAAAAGTACTATTTTTCCTGATAAAATAATAAAAACAGACTTAATACAGAACATTTAAATTGTACTTAATTGTTAGAAAAGACCATCATTTCCTCTTTTATAAACTGCTCTATTTTCCTTATTTTCTGTGCACTATTTCACTATTTCTCTCTGAGGGCCAGGGACAAGAGTGGAGCTTTCACAGCCACTTCTCTGCTGGCCTCCTGAGCCGCGCATTTCCCAGTTTTCCAGAACCACAGACTCAAGTCTGTGGCAGACGGCACTCTATGTTTGACCCATGGTAGCTTTCTTGGAGTTTCCAGGTTAGCTTCCCATGCCCCTGCCAACCTATCCGTTTTCTGAAAACTGATGTGGCACTGGAACAGGGACATGGAGAGACCTCTTACACCACCAATCTCCTTTCTTGGGTAAAAATGAAACTTTTCACATGGTTTGAGAGAGCTCTGAAATGAGCAGTTTTCACACAGATACAAAACTATAGCATTAGTTACTTAGAGGCTGTTTTGGGGGCAGTCCACTCTGTAGGGGCCATTTTGGAAACGTGTAAAGGTGTTTGTTTTTTTAAAGATTGAATTTTTTTATTTAAGGAGAGAGAGAGTGTGTGTATGTGTGAGTGGGGGGAGGGGCAGAGGGAGGGAGAGAGAGAATCTCAAGCAGACCCTGCATTGAGCGCCGAGCCTGATGAAGGGCTTGATCTCACGACCTTGAGATCATGACCTGAGCTGAAATCAAGAGTTGGACCTCCAACTGACTGAGCCACCAGGCACGCCGTAAAGGTGTTTTTTTGTTTTGTTTTGTTTTGTTTTGTTTTGAACATCCTAACAACTGGAAGCTACTACTGGTTTCTAGTGGGTAGGGGCAGGGATGCTCTGCTGTCCTGCAATTTGTAGGACAGTCCTGTATAGATTCTCCACGTTTTGCACGGCTGGATTTTTCAATGTCCTGCTGGTCATTCATGTAGGTCGAAATTCTGTAATTATCTGAGCCTAAAAACTAATTGCTTTTATCAGATAGAAGCAAGATACATTTCTCCCCAATTCTAACATACCTGGACTTTCCTAGGACTGCAATTCTGTGGGGGCGGGGGGGGGGGCGGAGAGCGACGGGCTTATTCTTAACTTTACAAAGAGTTGTTTTCCACTCTGAAAATGAAATCGCTGACAGTTTCCCCCACTCGCAAGCATCAGTCTCATCTGCAGCTATTAGTACTTTGTTCAGTGTGGGTACTCTGGGAAGAGGCTCAAGCCTCAGGAAACTTGATCACATCTTCCAAGGGCACTGCGCCCACATACTTTCATTTTGAAAACCATGCTTTTATTATCAGTGACTTTTTTATATTCACGGAAAGGCCTTAGCCTCATTGTGAAGGTACATATGCAAGTAGGCTTTGTTTCATATACTATTCATTTCAGAAGGGTAAAGAAGTCTTACGAAATACGTTTTAAGGGGCGGGGGCCTAAAATTTTGCAGGTCTGGGAACCATGAGAAAGATGGTCGGTGAATTTGGACAACAATATCCTGGATTCCTGATGAGTTTAGCTGGACAAGGGTGTTGCGGGCAAATACAAGGGCCCCTTCTCTCTTCTGGGAGCCAGAGGCCCCACAGACATCACTGACCTCCAGTGTGATCCTGTTCTTCACCAGGAGCCCGATCTTGATGTCCATCAAGTTCAGGTCTTTCTCGAGCTGCTGGTTGCCTCTGATCTTGGTCACCACTTCTTCTCTTAACCGAGCTACCTCCAGCTCTTCCTGGAAATCCAAGTTACTTTGGTCCAGTAGGTGTACAAATTTTCGGATCACCGTTAACGGTGGGTTTTCCGAGCCAACTGCAGGGAAAGGAAGAGGCATGCTTTAATTAGGCATGTTTGGAACTATCATCAATAGGAGAGGAATCAGGTATTTCACTAAAGCATTACTATAAAAATATAGCAACGGAAGTACTTGGTCACAGGAGTGACTCATTCTGCCCACATCAAATCCGGACAGGGAACCTGATCATGTAAATAACCGCACATCACCGATGCCATCTGGTCTGTTTTCTCGTTATCTAATTCTCATTTATCAGTCTTCTCCCACACTGCTTCTAGGACGCTGCCACGGAGAAGATAGTTCTACCTATCTGTGCCTTATTGATGGGGTACTTGGGAATGCGCGTTGACGGAGTTATCTCTGAGACCTTGTGGCTGAGCCAGAGAAGCGGTTTCTGTTCTTGCTGGAGGAAACGGAAAGTGGCTTCTCTCAGCCCAAAAGACCATGGGGGGGAGAGAGCAGGAATTAGGTGAAAGGTGAATTAGAAAAAGTCAATGAGGGGAGACCTGTAAGACCAGACAGGAGCCAATGGAATGACAAATGGAATGCGCATTCTGTGTGGCACAAATAAAAGGATTCTAGAAATTGAAATTTGCCTTGTCCTTTCAGCACAGACCACGTGAGGGCCCTCAGAGCCTGGGAGGCCAGCCTCAGCTGTTGAGAGGGGTTTCTAAATTCTACAAGAGTTTCCCCTCCGTGCTTTGAACATTAATTATGCTTTAATTCCCTGGCACTCTGACTTCACAAAAAATACATCTGTTAAAGTGTTTTAGTGAACACTGGGTCAGTGTAAGAATAAATGATCTGGACCTTCAGGGATGAATGATTACAGTCAACAACACGAAGATGACTTGAAAAAGCTCAGCCCCATTGTGGTGACTTCCATCACCATCCTCTCCTTTACACTGAGTCCCTAATCCATCTTCTTTTTACTTCCAGCTTGGTTCTGGGGTGTTTTGACATTCAAGAAATAAAAAGAGTTAAACCAACAGCACAAAGAACTAACAGCATGAACCCCACATGAACAACCAAATCTAGAGGCATCTATATTAGTATTTTGCCACTTCTGACGGGTTTTATTGGAGAAATTACTTTGGCTCTTGGAACCCTTCTTTTCCTGATCACTGAAGCACATGTGAATTTATTTTCTACCGTTTCTAACAAGGATATTGCTAATGACATGGCCATTTCAGAAAAAGCCTGAGTGATGCTCCAGAGCTCATGTGTATATAGCTAAGTTGGGAGAACACGAGCCAGCTCATTTGGTCTCAAATTCTCTCTCTCTGCTCCTAAGGATTGCTCATTTCTGTATGTGCCAATAAACATGTTAGAAACCAATTAGTATTTTAGCTTTGCTAATTATTATGACCCAAATTTAATATTTCCTCTGTCAACAGTAGGCTTGTGACAGGCTGAGAATCACTTTGGGGTATTTTAATTTCAGAGAATCACCTAATGTGATAGTCAGCACTGACAAGTGGCCATATCACAGTTGCAGCAACTTCCAAGTCTGAAGGTACTCAAAGCCCTTCCAGAAGGAATGGGTGAAAATGGAGATGACAGGCTAATAAAAGTGACTTTTTTTTCCCAGATTGCCTTAGTCTTGGGGTGCCTGGGTGGCTCCATCAGTTAAGCGTCTGCCTTCTGCTCAGGTCATGATCTCAGGGTCCTGGGATCAAGCCCCATGTCGGGCTCCCTGATCAGTGGGGAGTCTGCTTCTCCCTCTCCCCCCTGCTCATGCTCTCTCTCTTTCTCCCTCTCAAATAAATAAAATCTTTAAAAAAAATGCCTTAGTCTTACGAAGATGGTGAATTGAGAAAGAAATGAAAATTTACATTTCAGTTAGAACAAAACCACCCTATTTGCTAAAGCCCAGAGCAGCTTAGATCTAAGTTACTAACATAGTTTCTATCTACCTTCTATGCTTTAACATAAAATCACCTGGATTTTTTAATTGAAATTTCTTTTGTCTTGTAATTAAAAAAACTGTAAAGGGGCGCCTGGGTGGCTCAGGTGGTTAAGTGTCCGATTCTTGATTTTGGCTCAGGTCATGATCTCAGGCTCATGAGATCAAGCCCTGCATCAGGCTTGGTGCTCAGTGCAGAGTCTGTTTGAGATTCTCTCTCTCCCCCTCCTTCTGCCCCTTCCTGCTCTCATGCTCTTTCTCTCTCCAATAAATAACAATTTAAAAAAATGTAAGCAAGTGAAAAGCATCCCCCCAACTGACCACAAAAACATGTTACCTAGAATGAAACAAAAAGCATCCTGTGTTCATTTGGAAAATTTATTCTTAAATTGTCTTTGGTGAGCAAAGGCAGTAGCAAACCTGTTTTAGTGTGTTAGGGCTCAGAAAACAAAATCCCTATTTAGCCTTCTTGTAAAATACTTAAAGGTATCCACCAACTGAGAGATGAATCTCATTAATTCAACAATGGAGAAGTGTGGCCCTGAAAAGACTAGCTGGCCTTTCCTTACTTAGCTTGCACGGGGAATTCTGGAATCCAGCAGAATGATGTGTAATCCAATACATTCTGCAGGCTGGAGGCAGAACCTGGCCTCTAAATCTTCCTGAGGTTTTTCCTTAACAAGTACCAGGGAAGACCTTTCTTGAGCCATATATTTCATCTCAAAACTCAGATGGACTTTAGGCAATAAACGGCACTAGCTAAACTACTTCCTAGGCACTGTGCTGGTTACATTACTCAACTTTGACTTCCTCCAAAAAATGAGAAGAAGCAAGACAGAGGTAGACACAGTATAATGGCCATTTTCATGACTAAGATGCACAAGTCATGATTTTTCTTTACCCTCTCAAAACTAATTTGGAATGACCTAAGCAAAATATTTAAAAAGTTTGTGCAATACTAGTAAGTTTATCAGCAAGTTCTTAATTTATCACATGTTCTTGTAATAGTAGTAAGAATGTTAAAAATTCAGCATATAAAAAAAAGGATGTTCACTTTGTAAAGAACAGAAGAACCTATGCAAAGTGGGGATTGTAAATAGTGCAAAATGTCAATGTTATTTCTGGGTGATTTTTATTTTATTTTGCTGTTTTAAAACTTTCTAAAAATGGCATATATTAGCATTATAATAAAAAATATTTTAAAAACTATAGGGACCATGGAAAGTCTAGAATGAAATTATAGGAAGATGTTCATAGTCATCTTTGGGAGATGAGCTTTTTCCCTTCTTATTCATATTTTTTCCTTCTTATTCACGTTTCCAAAATTTCTTATACAAACATGTTTTATTCCTAAAATGAGGGGAAAAATTGTAGGCCAACAAAACAGATTAAACAGTTCAAATATAAGCTTATCTTCTGGCTCTTCTGCATTAGATTTCTGACTCTAGCTCAAATTTAATATAAAAACATCAGCATTTATACCAACTCCATTCTTTCTGAAGAAATCATATCCCCTCTACCTACCCCTTTCACTTATAACAGGAAGGCCCATTTCCTGCCATCAATGTTCCTTTGTGCACCAGTTCAGAACCTGGGGTCTGAGATGGTCAAAACTTACTGGAAACAATGGACAACTTCTGTTCCTGGAGCGGCCTCTAAAGTGACTAAGATGTTTTTGTTTTTGCCTTGTTTATAAGGAACCCATACTTTGTTTCAGAATATAGATGATCCCCAGCAAGCAAAACCTCGACTTACGATGTTCTGACTTCATGATGGTGCAAATGCCATACACGTTCAATTAGAAAAGTACTTTGAATTTTGAATTTGCATCTTTTCCCAGGCTAGCATCATGCCATAGGAATCTCTCTTCTGATGCTGGGTAGCAGCAGTGAGCCAGAGCCCCTGACAGCCATGTGATCACCAGGGTAAACAACCCATATGCTTACGACCATTCTGTTTTTCACTTGCAGTGTGGTATTCAATAAGTAACATGAGATATTCAACTCTTCACTATAAAATAGGCTTTGTGTGTTAGGTGATTTGCCTAACTGTAAGCTAATATAAGTGCTCTGAGCACACTTAAGGCAGGCCAGGCTAAGCTATGATGTTCCATCTATTAGGTGTGTTAAATGCATTTTCGACTTAGGATATTGTCAACTTATGATGGGTTTATTAGGACGTAACCCCATTGTTAGTGGAGGAAGATCTGTTCTCCTACTTACCCAATGTTTTGTAGTCATCTCTAGCTTTGTTTGCTCTCAGTAGTGACTGAATTTTCACAATTTCATTTTTCTGCAAAAGAATGAGACCAGTCATGATCTTCCCAAGGCCCATCTATTCCACAACTGTAGAATTCAGAACTACTTAAGAACTATCAGTATTTAAGAATGGACATTATTTAGGGCGCCTGGGTGGCTCAGCTGGTTAAGCGACTGCCTTCGGCTCAGGTCATGATCCTGGAGTCCTGGGACTGAGTCCCACATCGGGCTCCCTGCTCGGCAGGGAGTCTGCTTCTCCCTCTGACCCTCTTCCCTCTCGTGCTCTCTATCTCTCATTCTCTCTCAAATAAATAAATAAAATCTTTAAAAAAAAAAAGAATGGACATTATTTAGGAGCACTTGGCTGGCTCAGGTGGTGGAGCATATGACTCTTGATCTCAGGGTTTTAAGTTTGAGCCCCGTTTGGGTGTAGAGATTACTTAAAATGTTTTTTTTTCATTTTATATAAAAGAATATTTTAATTCTTGTCCTCAGGAACTATAAAGACTACACATGATTTGGAAATGAGACTGTACGAAACAATGGCCAAGGAAGAACCATCCGCTCTATGCCTTGTCTTTGGTCTGGTCACTCAGAATTTTAATTAATTAATTTATTCATGTTAGAGAGAGAGAAAATCGCAAGCAGACTCCCTGCTGAGCATGGAGCCTGATGCGTGGCTCAATCCCACCACACTGAGAACATGACCTGACCTGAGCTGAAATCAAGAGTCAGACGCTCAGTTAGCTGAGCCGCCCAGGTGCCCCTGGTCACTCAGAATATGTTATCAGCTATTGACTGTTGTTGCTTGTCACCTCATGTTATTTTCATCTGTGTATTCACCAGAGTCTCCTTTCCTTTCCCCATAAATTTGGGACCCCATTCCACATACCGATACACCACATGGTGATACACCATGCCTGGTTGGAATACTGATATTCTGTGCCATGTTGTCTTCTGCCTGACATCACCCATTTGGTGTGCTTCACTCTCCCCTGACCGCCACATCTCATTCGCTGCTAGAGAAGATACTGTGACTGGTTTTTCCCCTCCCACCTGTTTCATGACGGGGTCCCGACCCACTTGCTCAAGTAGCTGCACATGGCTCAGAGATCTTTCAAGAACCAAGCTGCTGGCTATTTCAGACTCACGTCTTACAAACTCATGCAATGCCTCTAATACAGGTCTTCAAAACATGGCTTCTACTGGTTTTTCCTACAAGCCAGTCTTTGGTGTTTCCCCAGTGAAGGACTCGTGGCTCCCTCCCTCCCTCACTGGACACTCTCAAAAATAAAATCTTTTTTTTTTTTTTTTTAAGAACAAAAACTATTTAGAACTGGCAATATTTAGATGGAGTGCGCTCAATGTTTATTTTTTGCATTTTCTTTGCAGAGAAAGGGTCAGCTAGGTTAGCTAAAAGTATTGACAAGATTGTATGGGACTGTTTATAAAGAGATCTAAAAGGGAAAAGAATTTTAGCCCCAAATTTAGATGATTCCATCTATGTTCACTTATCTATTCTTTAAAGATCCTGAAAAAAATTCTTCCTGTGGGCCTCTATTTATCAGTTAGCAGTTAGAAAAGCTTTATAAACAGTGCTGGAAAATTCTCATCTGGAATCTTTTCTCTTTGGCATTACTAGTCCACATCCGTTTCTTCTCACACATTTCCTATGCAGTCCTAAATAGTGAAGTCTCACTCTGAACATGAGTTCTGAATAAAAAAAAGTAAGCCTCCAAATATTATCACATTGAATTCTTAAGACCTGTTGTTTCCTCCTACTGTTCATTCCCACCATTTAGCTCCGGACTTTTAAAAAAAATATGTTAGGTTACTGATGTATAGACTGCAACTGTCCATCCAACTAAGTGAATTGATGTTTCCGAACTTGAGCCAAAGGCAGCTGGGGAGATATGAAAATATCACTTAACCCAACTAAAAGCTTTGGTGTGTGTCTTAGGACAAAAGGAAGCAAGTGCATGAAAAAAATTTATGAAAGAAGACATTGCATTTTCTCTTCCTGAACTGACAAAATATTCTATTTAAATCAAAGACTAGATAGGAACACCATGCAGCCAACATATACAATACACTATCAGTCTTCTACTCGGTTTTCTAAAAACATTTCCACCATTTAATAGAAATCATTCAATGTTAACATTCAACAAAGCATTCATTCCGCTCATTCTCAACCAGGGTGAAAATCCACTTGCGTGTCTCTTACATGATCTCTGAAATACTGCAGTCGTGCAAGGTATATCCTCCGTGCTACTATCATCCGGAACCAGGACTGAATCTAAAAAAAGAGTTAAATGGAGAAATCAAGGCAATTACTAAACAACCTTTAATATCTTTCCACACAGTCTTTCTAAAGATAGCATTGGTCTTTTGATAAAAAAGTAAAAGTGAGCAGCCCACCAAATAATTAACATCCTAAGCCTCACCTTCATCTCCTACTTCTTTCATTGCTTTTTTCCTAGGGGTTCAAAGCATTTTATACCTTTTGGTGGGGAAGGTAATGTAGCTTTGTACCATTTTGCTTTCATCTCAATAAATAAAAACCAAGAGGGCAAGGCATTTTGCTGACAGTTGCAATAGGTCAGGGAATCAAAAACCAAGTCCAGGGTTTCTTCCAGCATATCTTAAAGGCATCCAGGATCCTTTAGGTCTTTACAGGAAAACATGTCCAGAGTTCTCATGAGGGGCCAATTGGGACCTACAGTTTTCCGAGACAACAGGCTTGTGACCCATGGCAAACACAGCACATTACTAAGGAGCACAATGGATCTAGATGATGTTATTCAATGCCTTCACGGTCCTTTGAATTAGTTTCATTTGATCCCAATCTCTCTCCAGCCCTGCTATTCCAACTCTAATCTGGACTTCCACATTGTCTGCAAGTTCATTTCTGGGCAGTCCTCTGGTTTTTAGCATTGGGCAGTAGGCACCCCAGGGCCTTTTCTTTTTCTAAACTCAGAGCCATCAGCCTGGATCCAGAGCTGGGTTAGACCTGCTCACCTCCCACATACAGGTCCTAATTTAGTTCTACTTCTTGTCAGTGGTTTTACATTTGCCTAACAACTAAGGTTTTGTACTGTTAAGTTTTGTAAATATTATTAGCAAATGTGGTTAAGATGCATGTGAAATAACACTGTTTTCCCTCAGAGCTTAAATAATCATTTTGGATTTCCTAGAGAAAGAGCATTTACAGGTTATGAAATACTTGCACATCTGATTCTCAAAACCACGTAAAGGACCCGAGCCAGGTACGGTGTTTTAACAGACTTGAAGATGATCAGCTGAGTAATGGACGTGGGACTCAAACCTGGGACTTAATTCTGACTTCAAGACTCTTATGTATTCTTTTTATAATCTGTATTCCAGGAGCAAAACTAAAATGAAGAGAAAGGTTTAAGTCAAGCACTGGATAAGGTAGGAAGGGATGTTTACCTTCACAATGGAATCAGTATTATCAATCAACATTTGCCGCCTGCGCGAATATGCTTTCCGTTGTTTATGTCCCTTCCAAAAAGCCTGTGGGAAAGAGCAAATAACAGAATTACTTGTGTGTAACAGTTTCCCACTTAATTTTAGAAAGCACAAGAACAGAGTACATCTCAGGAGATACTGAGTTGGAACACTGCCAGGGGCCCTCCCTTCCAAATAGCATGTGGACACTCTCACTGGGAGGTGGACATTATATTGACAGCATGTATGAGCTCACAGCTTATCCCAAACTTGGGAAAGCACATTTACCACGTAGAAGCCCAGTTTCCCATTTGAAAGCTTAATTTTACCAAGGCTCTGGGTGACAAGAAGTAATAATAAAATGGAATTGCTCTGAAACATACAAAGAGGTGAACTGAGTATTGCTATCATGTGGTAACAACAGAAGATGCTTCAAAGTAATGACCAGTATCCTTACTCCAGCAAGTGACCCACCATGGATGGCCCAGACCAAGGAAGATAAATGCTTGATTAATTTGTAACTCTGGATCCCTGAAAAAAGGAGTGCTGTGATTGATCATTTATTATCTTATCTATTTCTACATGAAGTTTGGTGATGTTTCATCAACAAAGCTTTACTAGGTTATCCCCATTAAAGAGAACTTTTATAGGTGACATTTACAAAAACTAGACACAAACTGGTATCTTTAGAATGATTAAATACAAAACTAATTTAAGTTTATTCCAATTCATTTTTGAGAATCTTTTTATTGAAACTTAACTTTGTAACTCACTTCAATTCTCTGGTTTTGTTTTCATGTTAGAAATGAAATACAAGTTTCTTGTTAAAAAGGACTAATACAAAAAATCAAATTATTTTTATAAATTTCATGTCTACATATGTCAATCTACCTCATCCATTCTTTTAAAAAAAAGGCACGTGGAATTTTATTACCATTTAAAAAAATATGTCTTGTAATGATTCAAAACAAAATAGTACAGTAAAAAAATGATCAACTAAGCACTTGTTCCAGACTTCTCCTCTCAATTAAAATCCTTAGAAATAACAAAGTATTTTAAAAAATACTTTCTTCTTTTTGAAATAATTAGAAACTCACAGGAAACTCCAAAAATAATAGAGTTCCCCCTAATGGTAGCATCTCACAAAGAGGCTTTTAAAGCTACTCACTATAGTGTTAGAAAAGAAAGCCTATGGATCAACAACTCTGAGGGATCCTGGAAGACAGAAGGTAGAATTAGACTTCAAGAGGACTAGAATTGGACTTCAAGAGGAAACCACAGAACCAACATCTACAAAAATGTAAGACCATCTACAAACAATGTGGGAAGGCTATAACCTTGAGGGAGCCTTGGGCAGCACTCAAAATAACTTTGGGTAAGTTGTTACATTATCCACTTGTCAAGCAGTGAATAAAATAGCAAAGATGGGAGAGTGGGGTTCAGGCAAAGTACAAAGGAATACAGCCTTTTTGAGGGAATTTACCAATATCAGATTTAACATTATTTAGTCTTTCACCTAGTATTTTTAATTTTCTTCTATCTAGCCTAAGAAAGGCACCACGACGGAAGAAATATATGTAAGGGTTTTTGCTGCAGCACTGCTTGTAATACTAAACATGTGCATAGAGCAGAATCTTTACAAATGGGTTAACAGATCAACTGCAATTGCACTCCTAGTGAGGGATGCTACCTGGCAGTTACGAAGAATGAAATAGGGTCACATATATTGACTACAGCAATGTTCTGTGTCTTGAGGAGCAAGAGGATCTCCAAGATACAATGCAAAGAAAACAAGGAAATTGTAGTTTGCCACAAATACTATGATATGACCTGTTAAGAAAAAAAGAAAAACACAAGGAATATCTACTTCTATGCAAAGAATCTGTACTCAATGCCTAGAAGATGATGTACTAGGATATAGTAGAGAAAAGGTGTAAAGTAAAATATGCCTATGTACCTACCCCTACTTTGATTTAGCTACTCTACAAAAACACTATTAATTTTTTGCTATGTATTCTCTGAAATGGGCAAACATAGGGATATGCATATAAACTCTTATTGTAAACAACCTTATACACACATTATTATGTATTTTGTATGGATTATTCCATCAAGATAGGTTAATAGATGGGAGATTATTGGCTCAATAGTTGACATTTAAAATGGATAGCTACTGTCAAATTGCCCTCCAAAGAGTGTATGATAGACATTTCTTTCCCCAAGGTTTCACTGAACTGACAAAAATTAAAAAGATTGATGCTGTCCAAATTGACTGATAAAAACTGCTCTTCATTTTTATTTATACTGTAATCTCCAGCAAACCTTACTTTCCTGCACATACCTATCCCATTTATAATACAATTGTATTTTGTCTATATACATTTTAGTACCATATAAGACAGTGTTAAAATTTTTACTTCAACTGTCAAACATAATTAAAGAAATTCAAGAGTAGAAGGAAAATATGTTTACTCACAATTTTACTTTGTTTTTTCTTTTCTTCCCGGTTTTCCAAAATTCTTTTATCATTTTCTTTTTTGTTTAGAGAACTTTCTTTGCTATTCTTTTAGGGCAGGTATGCTAGTTCTTTACAATAGAACTTTACAAGTTCTATTAATTTTCCTCTTCATCTGAGAATGCCTTGATTTCCTCTTCATTCCTGAAGAATATTTTCAGTGGATAACAAATACTTTGTTGGGAGAGTTCTTTACTTTCCATGTTGTGCCATTCCTCCTCATCTGCACAGGTCCTTATGAAAAACCTTCTGTCATGAGAACTGTTTTCCCCCCATAGCTAAGCTGTCATCTCTATTTCATTGTTTTAAAGATTAAAAATTTTTTTTTTTGTTTTCAGAAGTTTGTGATGCATCTTTGGGTACATTTCTTTGAATTTATCCTCCTTGGGGTTTACTCAGCTTCTTGAATCTGTGGTTCTGTGTCTCTGACCACACACAGAAACTTCTCAGACATTATTTATTTCAGGCTTTTTCAGTACTTCCCCCTTTCTCTTCTCCTCTGAAACTCTGATGACACAAACATTCAATCTTTTTTTTATGGTCCACAGATGCCCTGAGGCTCTGTTCATTGTTTTTTCAATCGTTTCTCTCGGTTGTTCAGATCTAGTAATTTCTATCATTCTATTCTCTAGTTCACTAATTTGGTCCTGTGTTCCTTTCATTTTGCTGTTGAGTCCATCCATTCAGTTTTTTTATATGTTGTTCTATGACTGAGTTCTAAAATTTTTTTTTCTATCTTCTATTTCTTTGTTGAGACTTTATATTTTTTCCTTTATTTCAAGTGTGTTCATAATCGCTTACTATAACATGGCAGCTTTAAAATCTTTGTCAGCTAAATTATAACATCTCTGTCATCTGAATTGGCATATATATTTTTTAAGATTTTATTTATTTATTTGTGTGTGTGGGGGAGAACATAGAGGGAGAGTGAGGGAAGGAAAAGCAGACTCCCTGCTGAGCAGAGAGCTCAACATGGGGCTTGATCCCAGGACCCTAAGATCATGACCCCAGCCGAAGGTAGACACTTAACTGACTGAGCCACCCAGGCGCCCCCATATTGGCATCTATTAATTGTCTTGGTTCTTGAAATGTTTATTATTGATTGAAATGTGGACAAATTGGATTATTATGTGATGACTAATAAGACTCTGGATCTTATTTAACCTGTTCTAGGCGGTTTTCTCTGACATTGTTCTGGCAAGGGAACAGGGTGGTGGTGCTGCCTCACTACTGGCAAGGAGGGGTGTAAGTTCAGGTTTTCTACCTAGCCTCTATTGATATCTGAGGTGGGGGCTGCTTATTACTGCTGCATGGGAGCTGGGAGCTCTAACTATCCCCCAAGGCTGTGCCAATTCCACTCTGCCCAGGAGGGCTGTGTTACTACTCCTCATGTGCCTTCCACTGATAGCAGAAGGCTTTGCCAGCAGGTGGCCTCATTACTACTGGGTTGTCATCAAAGTCCTGACTTTCCACCATGCCTTCTTTGACACCACCTAGCAAGGAAAGGGAGGGATGCCACATTACGTTTGTCAGCATGGAAGTTCAGGCTCTGTGGGTATCTGGCTATGTTGTTAGAGTCTATGAGGGTGGAAGGCCAAGCTCTCGACTTTGTGGCATGAGTGGTATGGGGGTCACAGTTTTTTTTTTTTTTTTCCTGTGCTGTTTGGCTAGAGTAGAGTGGTTATTGTCTAAAAGTTTTGTCTTTCTGGGCTGCACCTTTCCTCGTCCTTTGGCTACAGATAGCAGGCTTTTGTTGGAGTTTCTGCCTGCACCCACTGGCATTTCCATTTTGCCAGCCTCTGCAGCAACAAGTCTGAGATATATGAAGCTAAAAGAAAACCACAGAACTCACCTCCTTGTCCTTCCTTGGGTCTCAAGATTCCCAAGCCTGTCTGCCTTTCCTCTCTCCATTTTCACAGTGTTATGTTTGTTTACAAATAATGTCTGGGGCTTTTAGCTGTACTTAGAGGAAAGAATAGGGAAAAGTAGCTGTATTCTGTTTTCCCAGAAGTGGAAGTCAAGCCCAAATAGTTTTTAAGTATCCAATGTTTTAGAGTTTCCTAAACTATTAAGGCCATATGAATTTATTCCTTGACAGATTACAAGATTAAAAAACTCAGAAATGTAAAAAGTAGTTATGATTCAAGAGAGCCACCTGAAAAATTATTAAAACTGAGTTCTTCCAGGTGATTAGTTATAAAATGTATATATATACTTGATTAATTTTCTGCATGTGAAAAAGAAACAATACAACAGAAAAAAGATGACATTCACGATAGCAAAAAATAACTAATGGAGTAAACCTAAGAAACAGGAATAAATTTAATGCTATATGGTGGGAAAGATTAATAAATGGAGAGATATACTGATTATGGAACTGGAAACTTCATTATTGTAAAGATGCCAATCTCCTCGAATGAACTAAAACCTCAGTGTAATGATTACAGAAAATTCAGAAATGGGTCTGGAACTTTATCAGCTGCCTTTGCACTAACTATTGAAATGAGCACGTGTTTTTCTCTTTTAAGCTATGATGATAAAGAATTATACA